AATAAATATCCAAATGGCCCTTGGCAGAAAAACGGTTCCCCACCCCTGGTCTAAAATGAGGGAAAGCGCTTCTGCCTTGAGGTCTTTGTTCTCCTGGACAATAGAGGGAGGTCCTTCTGGAACCAGGAACGTGTCAGTGGCTTTGTCCTCTCTGCAGACATCGGGGCCTGTGAGTCCATCATGAAGAAGAAGACCAAGCAGGACTTCCAGGAGCTCATCAAGACCGAGCATGGTGACTGCTGGCCGCCCGGCTCCCAGCCCCGCCCACCCTGGGGAGCTGCGCTCTGGCTCTTCCCAGCCCACGCTGGCTGCGTGGAACGCGGGTTCCTGTTAGACGCCTGGGGGCCCCTTATCCCGGATGGAGAAGGAGATGGGGAGACAGACACCTGTTAGCCTAGACGGCAGCCGCCGCGCGGCTCCCGGTAACAGGCTGTCCTCTGGTTACTCGCAGCGCTGCTGGAGGGCTTCAGCATCCGGGACAGCACCAGCTACATCGAGGAGCACATCGACCGGCAGGTGGGCAGCTGCCGGCCAGCGGGCAGGGCGGTGCTTGCGTGGGGCCGGCCTCCGGGAGGAAGGGGAGGGGAGAACGTGTGTTACGAACCTTGAACCTCCTTGGCTCTCCCTTCCTGTGCAGGTGTCGCCTATAGAAAGCCTTCGCCTCATGTGCCTCTTGTCAATCACCGAGAATGGTGAGCCCCCAGCACTGAGATGCCTGGTCCAAACTGTACCATAGGATAGAAATCATCGTGAGCGACAGGAGTAAATGTCCTAGCGGACAGGACACTTCCCTGTAGTTTTGAAGGGTTAATTTTTTTTAATATATTTTTTATTGATTTCAGAGAGGAAAGGGAAAGGGAGAGAGAGATAGAAGCATCAATGATGAGACAGAATCATTGATCAGCTGCTTCCTGGACACCCCCTACTGGGGATCAAGCTGCAATCCGGGAATGTGCCCTTGGCCGGAATCGAAGCCAGGACCCTTCAGTCTGCAGGCTGATGCTCTATCCACTGAGCAAACCGGCTAAGGTTCCCTGTAATTTTGTGGATTCTTTCCTCTGTAGAATTAAAGCAGTTTTTCTTTTGAGTGAACATCCTCAAGTCATAGGGTAAATTAGTGTCTCCACACCAAGCAGGACTACATCCAGACTCCCCCTCGTCTCCCCAAACAAGGGCTGTCATATCTTAGGATCACAAAGGCATAGAGCAGAGTGGCACTTTTCTTTGCTCCAGCAGGCCTCCTACCTTCAACAAGGTTTCATAATAAAGATGCAGTCCAGCCGGTGAGTGTGGCTCAGTGGTTGAGCATCCACCTATGAACCGGGAGGTCACGGTTCCATTCCCAGTCAGGGCACATACCCGGGTTGTGGGCTTGATCCCCAGTGTGGGGCCTGCGGGAGGCAGCTGATCAATGATTCTTTCTCATCATTGATGTTTCTATCCCTCCCTCCCTCCCTCTCCCTTTTTTGAAATCAATAAAAATATCCTATATAATAAAAGGTTAATATGCAAATTGTCCTCTTGGGAGTCGGAGCAGGAAACTGGGAGTTCCATCACTCCCTATGACGTGTGCTGACCACCAGGGGGCAGCGCGGAACATGGGGGCGACCAGCAGTGGCAGCAGGGCACTGAGGGATCGAGAGAAGGAGGAGGCAGGGAGGCCGGGAGGCGGCGAACTTGATGACCCTGATCACCGGCCAGGCCTAGGGACCCTACCCATGCACGAATTTCGTGCACCAGGCCTCTAGTATTAAATTTTTAAAAAAGATGCAATCCAGCCTAACCGGTTTGGCTCAGTGGATAGAGCGTCGGCCTGCAGACTGAAAGGTCCCAGGTTCGATTCCGGCCAAGGGCATGTACCTTGGTTGCGGGCACATCCCCAGCGGGAGGTGTGCAAAAGGCAGCTGATTGATGTTTCTCTCTCATCGATGTTTCTAACTCTTCTCTTCCTCTCTGTAAAAAATCAATAAAATATATTTTTTTAAAAAGAGAAAAAAATTAAAAAGATGCAATCCAGGAAGAAGGGACAGCCAACCAATTTCATAAACATTTCCCAAAACCCGACTCTGCAACCTTTAATGGCAGCTTGTTTTTCCTGTTGAAGGCTTCCAACTGGTGAATATTTTTGAAGGGAGCTCTCTACCCAGAGAAGGGCTTTGCTGATTCTGAGGCCCCTTTATTGCGTGTGGAAGCCCATTTCTCCTTATCTCAGTGGAGAACCACATCGAAGACTGGCCTTGGAACCACGTGACCCCTTCCTGCTCCTCAGCATCTGTAGGAGGGGCCCCTAGTACTGGCCCATAGCCAGGAAGAGATGCCCGGGAGTCCCGCCTCCTCCTCCTGCTGCCTCCCACCTCATTCCCACCACAGTTAGCATTCCTTTCAGTGTCCCTTCCCAGCCCCCGTGGCTCGGGGCGCGTCCTCGCCTCTCCGATCCGGGCTTTATCTTCCAGTGAGTGAGCTTACATCGAAGAGTCAGTTTAGAATCATCTGTGGAGGGTGCAAGGTTATCATCATTTACTGAATCATTCCTCCTGGTTCAGGTTTTCTTGGGGGAAGAGGGTTGGTTGGTTGGTTGGTTTGGTTGCATGTTTTAGGACACCTTAACTGGCTCATGAACCTTTCTTGTCTTCCCTTATCCTCAGGTTTGATCCCCAAGGATTACCGATCCCTGAAAACACAGTATCTACAGGTAAGGCCAGAAGAATGTATTTTTAAATGTGTTGATTTTAGCAAGAGAGGAGTGGGGGAGCGGGTGGGGGAGAAAGACAGAGAGAAACATCGATTTGTTGTTTCGCTTATTTATGCATCCACTGGTTGCTTCCTGTATGTGTCCTGAGCGGGATCGAACCCACAACCTTGATGTATTGGGATGACACTAACCAATAGCTACCCTGCCAGGGCTTCAAAAGGTTGTCTTTGTGAGGGAACTTTATGGAGGGGGCTCATTGGACATTTTTAAAAATATATTTTTATTGATTTCAGAGAGGAAGGGAGAGGGAGAGGGAGAGATAGAAACATCAATGATGAGAGAGAATCATTGATCGGCTGCCACCTGCTACTGGGAATTGAGCCCGCAACCCAGGCATGTGCCCTTGACCGGAATCGAACCTGGG